ACTTTGAAGACTTTTTATTGATTATAGAAACCACGCTCTGGTTATCAATGTGAAATAAAATCTTCTTGTTTTTTAACATTCCTCCCCAAATGTTCAAAACTACGACTACGGGGAACAATTCTAGAAAGGTAATATCGGTTAAAATTCCAGAAAGTACCCAATTGCGGGGCCAACACGCCTAGGCCCATTTCCCTTCAAAATAAATACCAAAACTCTTTTCGCCCCCACCTGCACTGTCAGTGAACAATTCGAGATCAGAGTTAGATGACCAGAACTTATCAAGAATTACGGTGGTACCATTGTAATTTGATAGAAAGAGTAACTAAATATTAAGGTCTTCTTTCATAACCTTTGTTACTCTGGTTCTGTGATTGGGCATACGCAAGTTGCGAGTGGCATCTATCAAACGACGACAAATGGCTCGACCCGGGACAATTACTTGACATGCAAAATTGAGTATGCCAATCAATGATTGCAATTCCCGAAGGGTGATTTTGGATCTATCTAAACAAAGTAAAATTCTGGCTTTTAACTCCACAAGTTTGTCTTCGGGTAGTCGCATTATCATGTTGATGGTGTCAATTTCTATACCATGGAATATCAACACTTCCGTTGGCTCGGCCGTTTTTTCCTCTGCTAATGGAACCCCCCAAAGTTTACAAGAATCCTGGAAAACCTTCAATGTATCATGGCATTGTGAAGTTTGTGCTTCGCCACCAAACAAAAAGTCGTCCAAATAATGTATAATATTGTCGTTTTTGGACTGTTGTTGGACAAACCAATGCAAGGCAGTAGAAAAAGATTCAAAGAGCGCCGAACTAATGGCAGCACCCATTGGGAGGCATTTATCAAAGTAATATTGATTTTCAAATTTGAACCCCATCAAATCAAAATCACCCGGTGAAAGTCTTAGCAAACGAAATGCAGATTTTACGTCGCATTTGGACAGAAGCATGTTCTTTTTTCATCTGTGAACCATATTGACTGCATCGTCTATGCTTGAGTATTTTACAGAACAGTACTGTTTGTCAATAAAGTCATTAAAGGGGTGATGTATGGGGAAGGACAAATTATGAATTAATCTGAATTCTGAACTAGATTTTTTTTAGGGATAACCGAGATCTGAGAAACCCGAAAGGTGGGGAACGGGGGTTTTGAAAAAGGACCAGCTTCTCTACCCAATTTTATTTCTTTCAAAATTTTTTCCCTAGCGATGGTGGCTCTCTTCCCATCCATTTCTTTAGAATTTATATCCTTAGGAAGTCTCGGACCGGAGTATTTTAGTTTAAAACCGACTTCGAGTCCTTGAATCAAGTCCCGTGCAACATCTTGATGCGGGTAATTGATGAGAGCTTTTTTTTACTTCATCGACATTGATTGGCGAATTACCTAGTGAATATAAATGCGTGTAACCTGCAAATATAAAACAAAAACAACAAAATAATAACATGTCAATGCAATGAAACCGGGTGAAGTTATGCAATATAATAATAAACACTCAGTTGTTTTCATACGGGTTATTTGTTAGAAGGTCTAAGTTGACAAACAATCGTTAATAATGTCATACAAAAAGAGATCAAATATCCTACACTGCACAGAGATAAAATATAGTAAATACTAGTACAAGGAGGGATAACTCAAACATGTCTATGAAACAAGTTCAATGCACTTAACGAGCTATATATATATAACTTCTAGGGAAAACTAACAATTTACAAAACTAAGTAAACACAAACATAGCGGAATTAAGATCGGCAAGCTGAAAAGGGGTGACTACCATTACATTTCGAGCATTTGTGAACATACTTGCAATTCTTGCCAAATGTACAATTACCCTTATTGTATAACCTGCATGTAAATGTGCGGCGTTGTCCTATATTTTGACTCGACGCCCAACTTAAGGAAGAGTTCCCACCGTGGTAACTTCCATTTGAAAGTCCTGTATTAAAAGAAGGACTAACGTTCGGAGTAGATACACATAACAACCACAGTTCCATATCGACAATTCCCCATGAAGAAAAGGGGGAAAGCGCTTTCCGCAATCGAAATTGCTCATCATATTGAACCCAGCCTCCGGAGTAACCCCTTGATGCTGCCATTCTGACTGTTTGCATATATTTGAAAAACTCAAGCCCTTTGTTAGGCCATTTTTCTAACATTACACTTCCATAAATCATGAATGCGGAGGTCTAAACATAAATACTTTTGATGGGATTTCTCTTTTGATTAACTATGGACAAAACACCCCCTTTTACTGCCAGTTCACCGTCTAAATTTTGCTCGTTTACAAGGTCCCGAGTAGATTTTAAAAGAGTATTCAGGTCAATGAACTCACCGTTCCATATTTTTTCTTTAATTTTGACCGGAATATGAGATGAAATCGGATCGAAAACACTTGCAATATGTGAAGGGGATTGGTCCACTTGTAAACGAATATTAAAAGAACTCGAAAAAGCTCCCGGCCCTTGTGAATCAAATTGATTAGAAACGTTCAACATACCAAGGTTATTGATTGATGAACTCTGCAAACCGCTTGGGCCAGGTTGTGAAGTCATAGGATCCGAAATTCCCCTTGAACTGTCCAGTATGTTTTCCTCGTTCCGTCGTGGACTTTCTTGAGGTGTCTCTTCCTGGATCCTGAATGGCACGAATGGGGACTCCAGATCATTTGCGTCTGCCACGATGTTGATCACCGGTCCATGAGCCACTGACAAATTAGAAGCTGTACGTCATTGTTCTAGAAGCTGGTACATTGTCTACAGATCTTTGCTTGTTCTGTGATCTACGCACATCCATGTCTGATGAAGATGGAAGTGCTGCTCCTCGTGTTGATGGCACCGGATCAAGTGGTATCTTTTTGCCTTTTTTAAGTTTCTTGGCTGGACCTGGCTGATGTAAAACCTTCCTTGGAGCATTACGAGGCCTCTTCGGCGGTTTCATATCTAAATAATACCGGTAGGATATGAATTGCGGATGTTGTAGATATTTTACGATTGTTTAATGAAACTTTCACTTATCTTCAAGAGCGGTTAGTTCGATGTGAGGCTGAAAAGTCACGTGATGTTAATTAGCCGGAAACAAGATGCGGATCCGAATGATACAATAGTTCTTTTATGGAAAATAAATAATCAAATCTCTTTCATTAAATTAGTGTATCTTATAAATGAAATAAACCGTAGTATTTGTGGCTTCAAAAAGAAATCTTTCTTTATAGAACTACAAATTTTTGATAAGACAGCAGAGTAAACCTCTTTTTTTCCCTCTTTGTTAACATAGTTGTGGGCGAAAAATGTATTAGAAGTTAACTAAAAAATGATTCAAAATCAAGGAAATTAAAAATAATAGACTTATAACATAAATTGTAAGCGTAATTTGGTATAATTGCGTTAAACGACGGACCCAAATATAAGTCTGAAATTATAGTCAGATTCCCCTCCCCCTTTTTCAGCTCATATGGCAAAATTTGGGGTAATTTGCTAATTTGCATAGCGGCCATTTTGCCTTATCATGACGGCAGCCATTACAATAGGATTATATAAGCCCTTTTAATAAAAATGCCAATTTGCAAATACCTATGTCGAATAAACAATTTGTTCGCATATAGGTGAATTGTACATGTTTTTAGGCTTCTGTCCGTGTACAAATGGACATTGTCTACTCTGAAATCTTTAGAAATCGGAAGCGTAACCATTGTGTAATTGCTATATAAGATCAAATAAAATGACGTAAAATCGTAAAATAGCAAGATTCAAAACAGAAATACACATGCAAGAAGATATTGTTCATGATTTGTTCGCATATAGGGAAACACCTTGTAGGTTGAATTTTAAAGTTAAATAACTTTTAACTTACCTGATTTCTTAAGTTTTCGGCCAAATTCTTTTAAAAACATGATGATTTCAACCTTCCCATTTCGTAAAAGTCAAATTTTAAGCATTTTCCCTTAGAATTACACAGCATTTTTGTAAATATCCGCCAAAGGAAGTTTTTAAAGATACATTAGTTTTAGATACATGACGGAAAAGGACTGGATTATCCGCAAATCTATAATAAATTATATTTTCAATCTTAAGCTAAGGGAAGTAATTTGATCAAAAGGGACAAAGTCACGTGGTGCAAATGATTTAAATAAAGTACCTTTGATTTTGCCATATGTCATCTTCCTGAAAAGATATATAGTATATATTGCCATTAACGTCAATAGATAGAAATAAACTGTAAACAGTAATAATGATCATCATTATAAGACCCTACAAATATGCCACTATATAATATCTACAAATAAGCAAGCATAATCGACTGTAATAAAGAAAAACAAATATTAATTTGGCATATGTTTTTACTAGGTGAGCGATTCAAGCTCTTTGAAGCCTCTTATGTTGTACTTCTTTGTGCTGTACACTATTTTAATTAGTATTCTTATAAAATTAAAGACCCCTTTCAATGAGTAAATGTGTACTTATGTAATTTTCATACATTTAACAATACAGGATAGAAAAATGACACAAATGAGAACGATTTCATTTGTGAGATGCGAGGCAATGTCTATTAATAAACGTTTAATTTTCCCGTGATACATAAATACATATCCACATGACAGCTTACAAAAATAAGTGAACCTAGAGCAAAAAGTTGAACGAAACTCGATACCAAAAATAATAATTAATTAGTGACCCTTTGACGCATAATATTAACAACTGTCACATAACTAAATATACTGCAACTCTTTTTTTCGATAAAAAAAATTAAAACAAATAAGATGAAATAATTTCATATACAGTGACGATCGCAATCCATAAATCTTATCCATCATCCATATATTTATTTACCAATCATTATAAATCGGTGACCTATTGCGCATGCAGATATGGGTAATCTGTGTACGAAAAAAACTATCATATACCGTTCCATATAAGGAGTCCTAGATCGACCTATGAAAACGGCATATTGTAAGTAGAACTTCCAAGAACACGACATAGCCAAAGTCCATGACTAACAAAACTGATGTAGCATTAGTCTGACTGATTGTCGAAATTTTGATTTTACTTAACATATATTGATGGGGTGTATTTGCAATTATTTATTTGTGTTTGTTTTTTATCTGGTCAATGCTCAAAAATCGACCTTTAAAGCTGCAGTTTATGAACATGCTGTTATTATTCCTACAGATTGGGGATCTCGGGATAACCGATCCACTGCATTGCAAAACATGATGAAAAATGTTGACATTTATAAGGAACAAGCTATGATAGCAAGCAAACAGGTATGTCATATATTATTAAAATATTTCTTAATCATTAATATAAAGGTTTGACTCGAATATTTGTATTGTGGATGGAACAGAAACAAACTTGCAATGATGAATCGAATGGAGTGCCGCCTTTATTCTTATTTTTATGCCCCCGCCGTCCGTCTGTACGTCCGTACGTTTCCGTTCTCTAACGTCAGTTTGCCTCAACCAAATGTTATGACACTTATACTCAAAGCTTATTACCACACACCACAGATCAAGTGTGAGCTTGGATGGCGTCACTTTTACCTTTCTAGAGTTATGTCCCTTTACAAATGAAAAAAATGATGAATTGTTCGTTTCCGTTCTCTAACTTTGGTTTGCCTCAACCAAATGTTGTGAAACTTATACACAATGCTTATTAACACAAAACACAGATCAAGTTTGAACTTTGGTGGCGTTACTTCTACCGTTCTAGAGTTATGCCTCTTTACAAATGGAAAAAATGCTGAAGTTTTCGTTTCCGTTCTCCAACTTAAGTTTGACTCAACCAAACTTATACACAATGCTTATTACCACACAACACAGATCAATTTTGAGTTTTGTTGACGTCACTTTTACCTTTCTAGAGTTATGTCCCTTTATTGAAAAATTGCTGAAGTATTCGTTTCCGTTCTCTAACTTTAGTTTGACTCAACTAAATGTTATGAAACTTATACACAATGCTTATTACCACAAAACTCAGATCAAGTACAAATTTGGGTAGCGTCACTTTTACCTTTCTTGAGTTATGTCCCTTGATAACGTTATATGCAAGCGGGGGCATCATCTGTGTCCCATGGACATATCCTCCATTTGTTTTTAAATAAAAAAAGAACTAATCAAAAATTATATAAAAGTTCAATTTTCATTCTAACATATGTTGTTTATTTACTTGAAGTGGAGGGTCTGTGCCGCCGTGGGTTAGTATTTAAAAGCGAACAATCAGTATACAAGATGAAGACAGTACAACATATAAATGCGAATACAGGCAGAAAGTACAAAGTCTCGGAGGACAATTAAACTCTCACAAAACCACTATGGAGTCTCATTTAACCTTTTTCCGTAAAGGATAAAATATTGTTTACACAAATTTGTTTTTTTCTAGAATTTGTCGAAAATCCATTGTTTAGAAGCACAAACCCCAAAATGACCAAAACAGAACAGCCAAATCCGTCTATGGTCAACTATCCTGAGGTAGTTTGAACCTCATTTTAAGATGATGGGAGTTTTTGACGACCTTGACTGGCTGTACAGCCCTCGCACGGTCGGTCCATTTTAAGTAAATACTTTTAAAATGTATTAAAAATGTATGTTCACAGTACAATATCGTGTTTTTAAAATTTCAATACAATATCTATATAACAAATTCTTTTTTATTCCAAGTAATATCATATGTTATCTTATAAACATTTTATAAAGGAACTAATTTAATCTATTGACTTTATATACGCCAAAAAATAATTGAATTACTAGCAAGTTGTTGGCTATAATAAGTTTTAGGTCAATAGATTATACGGTTTAGATATAATTAACCCTAGCTTTTACAGATATTTATCAAATGTGTAATATTAACAATAAAATAAGTTCTGCATCCTGTTTGATTAACCTAGGATGTACATATGGATAGCATTGTTTTTGTGCAAAACATAAAATATGATTTCAGGTGTATATATTAAACATACAAATTTGAATAATTTCATGAATCTTTATCAATAAGAGATGAAAAAAATCAACAGAAAGTATAGGATGTAAACATGTAAACTAGTTATGATAAATACGTAAAGTTTAAAAGCAAGATAATTTTATGATTAAAAATACATATTATTAACATTACAATGACAGAAACATACGGTACAAAAAGGGAGGTGGGAATTAAAATAATATTAAATTAAAAATTCTACAAATTAACAAAAAATCAATAAATCCCAAACAGAAAGATAGATGAACAAATTGCTTTCAAATCGTATTCAAATCTCTTTCAAATCATGATTTTGCGATTTGTTGGTACCATTTGCTTGCGATTCATTAAAAAAATAATAAACAAATCAGAATTCGCCAAATTCCCCAAAACTGATTTCTTTGTGATTTCTTTCAATTGTATGATTTGTAAGCAATTTGTTTCTGTTTTTGCGTGATTTCTTTATGATTTGATTACTTAGAATATCGTATGAATGATTTGAAAAAGATTTGTTGACTTTGTTAGCTAAAATGGTGTGATTTCGCTATGATTTGTTTACTTAGTATATTATATGAAATGACTTGAAAATGATTTGTTAACATTGTTAGCTATCATGGTGTGATTCATGGACGATTTGTTATGATGAGTACAATGTTGTGGCATTCGGATTTTCTGTGTTTATCTATATCTCTGACATCCGGTTGAGATCAAATTCAAATTTCAAATACTGTTCTAAATTAACTGAACAAAGAAGGTTACAAGATGAAGAGTGAAATATACTATCAATGATGATATGCAGTGGTAAATATCTCAGTCATTAACTTATTATTTCACACATTCAAATAATACTATTCAAGCATGTTAAAGGTGTTAACCTTTTAAATTCCGAAACTGTGCATTTCAGTATCTCGTAATAATTTTGTACTGTCAAGATTAATCAAAATAAAAATGTGTAAAAGACGTGTAACTTTAACAGATCGAGACATGCAAATAAAGACTAGCTTCCCGAGTCAGCAGACAAAATTCACTGGCAAGTTTTATGTTTTAATTTTTCATGATGTTTACTGGACAGGTCCAGGACAATAGGGGCAAATCTACATTAGCAGATTTGGACCCAGACTAAGACCTATCGCCTATTCGACATCCTTCTAGTGAACGTGGTTGCCCGTGTGTTTGTCAAATCTCTTTAGAGTCAAATTCGGGAGAAGTAAGAGAAACCTTTCACAGAGGGAACAATTCGTCCCTCATGGCAACCAGAGATAGTAAACCCTTAACATTAATAACAATCAGAGGAGTAGCTAAGGTAAAATGATGACAAATGCACTTCAAAGTTTGGGGGTCTCAGGGACAGAAAATATTTTTTAATCTAGATGTAAATGATTTAATCTGTGAATTGATGATTGATGCCAATTTCTTGTTAAAGATTTGATAACGATTGGTTTATAGTTTCTTTACAATTTGAATACAATTTGTTTGTGATTTGCTTGAAGAAAGAAAGCAATGACCTCTGATTTGTTAATGATTTCAAAACAATTTCTTTACAATTTGTTTGTGATTTGCTCATGAATTGGAAGCAATTTGTTCGTGATTTGTTGTTGTGATTTGTTAGCTCATTTGCATGTGAAATTTTATCACTTTCAAATCATAAAGAAATCATACGATTTGGTTATCATTTAATTTATTGTTACCATGATTTGTTCCTCAATTTTTTTTGTTTGGGTTTGTTTGATTTTTTTGGTTTCACAAACCGTATTATTGTTTAATGGAAATGGAATATTGAATTGAATTGTTAATATTAGGGAAAATCATTCATACTGTGTACCTTACAAGTGTAAACATTGTTTTTATACGACCGCAAATTTTTTAGCGTTCGTATTATGTTATGGCGTTGTTTGCGTCTACGTCTGAAGACATTTTGGTTCGCAGACAATAACTTGTGAATAAGTGTATGGATCTGTATGAAATTTTAGCACAAGGTTCCATACCACCACAGGATGTTTGGGATTGTTTTTTGGGGGTATTTGTCCGAGCGATTTTGTAATTAAGGGCCAAAAAAGGTCATATTTACTGGTTCATAGAAAATAAATTGGTTCGCAAACAATAACTTAAGTATAAGTGTATGGATCTGTATGAAATTTTAGCACAAGGTTTCATTCCACAATAGGATGGTTGGGATTGATTTTAGGGGTTTTTGTCATAGCTGTTTAGGAATTAAGGGCAAAAGAAGGGACTAATAAAAACAATTATTTGTCTGGTTCACAGACAATAACTTGAATATCAGTGTATGTATCTCTATTAAATTTTAGCACAAGGTTCAATAACATAATAGAAAGGTTATTTATTTTAGGGGTTATTGCCGTAGTGGCCAAAATGGGTAAAACAACAAGCATTTTTCATGTTTCAGGATAAAAATTTGTGTATAAGAGTTAAATTTCTATGCAATTTTATCACAAGGTTTCATACTTCAAAAGGAAAGTTTTGATTGATTTTTTTGGGGGTCATGGCTCAAACCTTTTAATAATTAGGGGTCGAAAAGGGGCCAAAACAACTATTTTTCTTGTTTTCAGGCAATAACTTGAGTATAAGTGTATGGATCTCTATTAAATTTTAGCACAAGGTTTCATACCACAATAGGAAGGTTGTGGTTTATTTTGGGGGTTAATATAATAGTTGTTTAAGAATGTGGGGGAAAAACGGAGCCAATACAAACAATTATTTTTCTGGTTCACAGACAATAACTTGAGTATAAGTGTATGGATCTCTATCAAATTTTAGCACAAGTTTTCATACCACATTAGGAAGGTTGGGATTTATTTTTAGGGTCATTGTCGTGGCTGTTTAGTAATAAGGGGCCAAAAAGGGTCCAAAACAAGCATTTTTCATGTGTCAGGACAATAATTTGTGTATAAGAGTATGGATCTCTATTAAATTTTACCACAAGGTTTCATACCACAATAGGAAGGTTGGGGTTTATGTTGGGGGTTATTATAATAGCTGTTTAAGAATAAGGGGCAAAAAAGGAGCCAACACAAACAATTATTTTTCTGGTTCACAGACAATAACTTGAGTATAAGTGTATGAATCTCTATCAAATTTTAGCACAAGGTTCCATACCACAATAGGAAGGTTGTGATATATTATTAGGGTCATTGTCGTGGCTGTTTAGTAATAAGGGGCAAAAAAGTGTCCAAAAACAAGCATTTTTCATGTGTCAGGACAATAATTTGTGTATAAGAGTATGGATCTCAGTCTATGAAATTTTACCACAAGGTTCCATACTTCAAAAGGAACGTTGGGATTGATTTTGGGGTCA